AAAGTACGTATGTGCGTGTGTGTGTGTGTTTATATTTGTGTATGTGTGTGTGGTTACTTCCCACGTTTGGAATTTCGTCTGCTCAATATTTCTAACTACCTAAGTTGTTCTATTTCTTACTCGTTCCTATACAATTGTTTATTTATCTAAGCCCTAACATCAACTCATAGAATAAAAAATTTTTCATCGTTTTAAACGAGTGGTTAAGAAAAAAAATGTAACAACAATGTTCATGGAATATTTTCTTTCAAGATTCTTTTGTTAATTTTTTTTTTGCTTTTCTACTTTTACAAGTAAAAAAGTGTCTACTCGTTATTTTGAATATATTCTACGACGAGGAAATATTAGGTCTTTTGTACTTTGATAACAGGACAAAATGTTAACGTGAGATAGAAGAAGATGAAGATAACGAACCTTTGTTAATTATAAACGAGTATGTTAGAAAAGTTGATCTTTTGTGTTGGTACCAGAACGAAATGATGCACCTATCAACTATTTTTTAAATGATTCAAGTCAACATCATCAAAAATAAAAGTTTAGAATATTAAAAATTAATGTAAACAAATAAAAATAATGTTGTATGATATACTTAAAAAACATTTTGTAGGAATATTTAAATGGAATGGTAAGCCTATAAAAAAAAGGGTTGACATATTCCTATCATATTTACTTAAGGAAGTACTCAAAATTGACAGTAAGTATCAAAACGATAAAAAAAAATGTCAGGAAAGGTAGAATATTTGAACAAATTTTATTAGATGCGTCAAGTTTGGTGAAAATTCACAACTACTGTATACATACGTGCATATGTGATACATTTAATACGTGTATGTATATCTTTGAATGAAATTTGAAAAGGTTATCGTATTAGACGCGTAACATAGTCAGTCAGGTGTATGTAATAGTTATGTATTAAACGTAAAATGCATAGACAGAAAGTCGGAAGGTGGTGAATTTTCTGCATAGAAAATAGAAGGAAGAAATTAGCATAAGCCATTGTCCTGCCAGTTTGCTAGCCAGTAGGAAGTATCTAAAAGCTCCTTTTGCAATAAGCCTGTTCACAGTGCAGGTGTAGTACTGTTATAACCGTAAATTCAAAACTAAGGATGTCTCGTGTCTGATTTTTCACTAAATTTTCAACCAACTGATTACAAATTTCAAACTTGATTTTTCAATTACATACTTTACTTAAAACACATTTTGTTCAAAGTTCTAAAACTGAAGTTTTAATAATTCCTACTATTAGTCAAATTCTCTATTTATTATTAATAGATCAAACGTGGAAAAAGGCACGGAAAGGGAAACACGTGTTAACCATGCCGTGTTACTTTCTTGGCATGTGCGAATCGTATGTCTGCAGAAAGCTTTACCATAACTTAACCAACCTTCTGGGATCGTATTTTTAAATTCTAAACGAATGTAAGTATAATTGTTATTTAAAAACAAAAAAAACACTAATTCTAAGTTTAACATTAAATGTACAAACAAAAGTATTTAAACATTGATACAAATATCAAATCAAATTTTACATTTAACACTCTAACTATTAAAACAAATATTCAAACATTCTAATAAATACACTTAATTCCTACAAAAAAAATAAAAGAAAAAAAATTTTAATTATTAGATCTTAAAAAAAAAAAAAAAAATGACAAATAGAAGTAGCGAATAAAAATAAAATAAAATTGTACAAATGAAGATGAATAAAATAAATGAGAAAAAAAAAAAATGTAAAAATGTGCAATTTAGGAATAGTAAGAAAGAAAGAAGGAAAGAAAAAAAACAATAACTGACCACGTAATCCTGGTGACGGTCATCCCGATGTGGATGTTCCCCGTGATAGGAGAAGTTAACAAACAACACCGGTAAGACCTTTTTTTTCTTCTTAGAAAAGATGAAAATTAACAACACGACGCGAAAAAGAAGAGGAAGGAAGAGGAACACGAAGCACCTCTTCTACGGACGGGAGTCGGGCGCTGACTGAACGTTGACTGCGATTCTCTGGAACCGGGAGGAGGCTGCGTCGACCAGCCAGGGACCACGAGCCTGTGGCCTCCTCCTGACACTCGAGTCGTAACTAAATTCTTTTCCCTTTTTTTTCTCTCTCTTTTATTTTTTTTTTTTACATTCTCTCTCTCTCTCTCTCTCTCTCTCTGTCTCTGTCTCTGTCTCTGTCTCTCTTTCTTGTTCACTCGTTCACTCCCACTTTTTCTTTTCAACCTCCTCCCTCACCGCCACTCACTCTCGCTCAAAATTCCTTCCCGAACTTGATTGAAGTTTCGCCGTCACGTTACACATATCCCGATGATATTTCCTTTTTCAAACATTTTTGTTTTCTTTTTCTTTTTTTTTTTTTTTTTAGAAAAACCGACCTCTCATCTTTTATTTTTTTTTTTTTTTACTCAAATTTCTATCACACTTTATGTTTATTTTATTTTATTTTTTTTTTTTATCAATTATAAATTATTCAAAATTGTACGGGATTTTGTTGCAAATTTATTTAGAAATTTTTGAGAATAATAAAACAACCATACTATATAAATTATTTTTTTTTATGCAGTATATTTTTATTCAAAGATTTTAATATATAATTTTTTTTTTTTTCGAAAAACCGACCTTTACTTTTTTATTTTTTACCCAAATTTTTACTACACTTTATTTTATTTTATTGCAAATTTAATTAGAAATCTTGAAGAATAATAAAACAATCATATTATTCAAAATTCATGATATAATATATGTCCTTTTAATTATTATTGGAATTAATATCGTATATTTTTATTGGACGATTTTAATATTAATTACAACGACTAGATGATTAGCTTACAACACAAAAATATATATATTAATTTAATGTTAAAATATTCATGAAATTCTTCTTTCTTTCCCCTCCCCCCCCCCCACCGTTTACCGTTATCGTTAAACGTGTGTCCAAACACACGTTGAAAAGTAGCTCGTTCCGGAACGATGTTAAGAAACAAAACAGATAACTCATAACACACAATGACGTTTTTCTTTTCTATACAAAGTAGAAGTTAGAAACAATTAAATAGACACGCGAATAAACAATGAAGAAAAATAATTACCAATTTGTCAAATAATTCTTCCTATTTTTTTTTCTTTCTTCTTTTTTTTCAATACTTTTACGTGTTCGTGAAGAGTGTCAAAGACAAATTAAATTAAAAAAAAACTCTTCGCAAGTCGAAGAAAAATATGATTCTCAGTTTTAAAAAGTAAAAACTTCGTTCAATTTTAAGGGACAAAAAAGGCGGGAACGTCTTAATGGGAATTGAACACCGATGGTTGGCAAGCAAACGAATGGATGGAAGAACGATCATCATGGATGAGTAAAGAAACGTACGATTTACGACTAATCTCATCTCACTCTCTCTTTCCCTTTCTTTTTACTTTGTTTATCTCTTTCTAACACGTGAATACGTTTGATGAATAATGTAAGGCATGCTTCGCGATCGGCCCGTTAATAGTAACGAGCTTACATTATTCTACAGTGAGTAGAGTATATACTTCGAATGGCACCTTCGAAGAACGAACCCTTCAAAACGAACTACCGCACTTTCGTGTAATTAAACTTTCAAACCAATTACCGAATAATCTCTTCCCCATCATCCATGGTCTACCACTTACAGTGCATTTCGATTTTGCATTCACGAAATAATACTTTCTTATTTATCCTTCAAATACGTCATAACGAAATGGAAACCAATCATAATGACCAATTTATATAAGAAATCAACAAATTATTTTATTGTTTCACAAATTTATTCTTGGCATTGACCATTTTTATTTCTTCTTCTTTGTTGTCAAACGAGAAATGCATATTGTATATTATTTCATTTTTTTTGTGTTATGTATAAATAAATTATTTTGCATTTTTTATATAGGATGTAAGAATGTAATAATATTAGGGGTGCCCTGCGACGCGTTGTTTTGGCTCACAATCAGTTCGATACACTTGTCTTTAAGTCAATTGTGATTATAAATTAAGATATAAACTATCCTATTTTTCAAGTTGAATGAAACTGCACAAAGTGTGCAAAATTTGATTAAAATCAGTTCAGTAGTTTACGAGTTCATTGCGGACAAATATCGTGACACGTAATTTATATATATTAAGATATAATATAATACTTATAATTACTATAATTATTAATAATTTATTGTAAATTAATATTAGATCAATGATGGTTTGATGATTGTATTAGAAGCTTGGAAAAAAAATCTAACAGTTAGCAAGAAAATAATACATCGATAAATTTGTGTATTTCGGTCAAAAAAAGGTTTCGACATATGACATTTCGCATAAAAAATTGTATTTATTTATATTATATTTATCTAAACTGAACAGGTGACATAAACGACAAGCGTAATCGTATATTCAACGCGTGGGTTATGAAAGCTTACTTACTTACTTACTTATTCTCCAAAGTAAACGTCAAAACGATCGTAATATCGTAGACAATTTTCGAAAATCGAAAAGAAAATGTAGGCATGAGAGAAAGATCGTTTCATACACGGAAGTATTTCATACACCTTAGTTGGATACAATTCTATATTTAAATATAACCCAAACATTTCAAATGTAATTTATTATCTTTCATATATAAACAATAAAAACAACAACGATTCAGATTATTACGAAACTAGTTCAACGATCTTTTGTATTCGATCAGTGTTCTACAAAGATTGAAAAAAAAAAACAAGAAGATAGAAATAGAAAAAACATAGATGCAAAATTACAGAAAACAAAAATAAACAATAATTAATATTATTGTTTAAAAAAATAAAATTAATTGACTTTAGGAATTCAAAAGTTCATTGATCACAAATATTAAATCACAAAGTTTTAGAAAACAAACAAAAAAATAAAATTAATTGACTTTAGGAATTCAAAAGTTCATTGACCTTAAATATTAAATCCCACCAGTGTGTTGCCATCCATGAAAAAAATAATTAAATAAAAAAATGAAGTTGAAACTAACCGAATAAATCGATGGTGCATGATTAACGGCGTTGCAAGGGCGGCGTTTGCAAGGGCGCCGATATAAGGGACGTTGTCCAATCCAACAACAGGATGATACCCTCTTGGAAACTTCAACTTCAAAAATATTAAATCTAATCTTCTTCTTCTTCTTCTTCTTCACGTAGAATAGAAGAAGATAATAAGATAATACGAAGATAAAACAAACAAACAAAATGAAAGAAAATAAAAAGATGAATCAACCGAAATTACGTTCGGTTTGCTCGCTCGCGCGCCTGCGACTCGCGAGAGAAAACTAAACCGAAAGAGGTTTAACGAGAGAGAGAGGACCGTGTTCCGTTCTGTTGGAACCCCCGATGTGAAGGAGGAGAAGATAGAAACAGAAAGAGAGAGAGAGAGAGAGAGAGAGAGGAGAGAATGAGGAATGAAGAGAGTAAGTGTGCAGGCGCAGCAAACCAAAGAGGAGAAGAAGAGGAAGAAGAAGAAGAAGAAGAGGAGAAGGAAGAAGAAGAAGAAGAGGAGGAGGAGGAGGTGGTGGAGAAGGAGGGAAAGGAGGTGATGGTAGAACCCAAGAGGGATTCGGATAGGAACCGGTGGGGACTTCTTGCTCATTCATACTTGAACGCCTCCGCACAGTTAGAATCAGAGTGAGTGAGAGAATGAGAGAGAGTGAGAGAGAGAGAGAGAGAGAGAGGGAAAAACTCTCTTCACAAATGTCTCCCATGCAACTTCTTGTGAGGCACTTCGAGATGCGTTTAATGCCACTTAATCAACGTATTTCTAGAGATTAGAGTAGAAATGATTCGTTAATGATCATCATTTCATATCACCTAATCTTCTCATTGAATTAACGGCTACTATTCTGTATTTCTTTGTTATCACAAATAGGATTTTTTTTATTAAATCATTTCATATTAAATCCTATTGATATTGTTTATCTTGTTAAGATATGATAATTGTTTAATAAATAATTAATAATGTTAATCGTCTGTAAAATATTCTGCATTGAGATAATCCAAGATTTTATTTTGATTTTTATTTGTATTTTTATGTGCATTTGATAGTATCGTTAATCGATGATTAGAAATGTTAATTGTGGGATAAATATTTGAAAAATTGTATACTTTAATTCTAAATATCATCTATGATTATGCAAAAATTCTGCATTGCAATATTCCAAGATTTGATTTTAATTTTTATGTGCATTTGATGATATCGTTAATCGATGATTAGAAATGTTAATCGTTTAATAAATATTTAAAATATTGTGTATTTTAAATCTACCAAGAATTATTGAAAATAGTTTTTCTTCTATTAACTAACATTCGTTGACATAGTTAATATTATTAATAGATAATTAGAAAAGGTTTTGTTGAGTAATTAAATATTGAAGAACAAAAATCGTATGACGATCAAATAAAAGCATAGATTTGAAATATTGAAAAAAAAAAAAAAAAAAAAAAATAGGAAAAAGAGGAGGTGGTGATTTTTTTTTGAAAGGCTTTGAAAATCCCTAACGATGATCAACGTTCAAATATTGTTAATTCGACGATTAATGAATGCGGAGGAGATGTCACGATGCGTATAATAGGTATTGGCATATACGCCTGATCAATTTCGATCAATCGTTTGATAATTCCGTTTAAAATGAAACTGCATTTCGAAATAGCACCCCGATTCATAACCAACGTACGAATCCAACAACGTACGAATTCAACGTACCGGTTATGAATGTATGTGTAAGAGTATGGTGTATACGTGTGCCTTTTATTAATTACCATACGATTTCGTTAATTATGAAGCATTATGCCATACACGTGCATATGAGGAGAACCAATCGAAATATTGGCGACGTGTAAAGTAACCTTCCACCTATTTCATACTTACATTTCTAATGCTAATACAAATTACTAACAGACTTTAAGTTATCCTAAGTTGTTGTTTTTTTTTTCTTTTTTTTTTCTTATTCTTCACTATGTACATATTATCTTTTAACCTTGTATTAAAATAAACTACTTTGCTTTGAAATTACCGCCAGATAAAAAAAATGTCATTAGTTATGTGGGTATATGTTTAAAAAAAAAAAGCTATTATAGATACATTTCTATGTAAAGTAGAATGCATTTACATTAATTATACTTATTTTTCATACATTATTATGCATTGTATATTTTACTAGAGATGCCCCGTCACGCGTTGCTGTGGTTCACAATTAGTTCGATACACTTGTGTTTAAGTCAATTGCGATTATAAATTAAGATATAAACTATCCTATCTTTCAAGTTGGATAAAACTGCATACAGTGTGCAAAATTTGATTAAAATCGGTTCAGTAGTTTACAAATCCATTGCGGACAAACAACGTGATAGGTAATTCATATTTATTAAGATTGGAATTTTCATGGTTAATATTGTATGGGTCTGTTAATACTTGCATGTATTTTAAAATTGACTATCATAAAGTAATTATAAAATACAAATGATAATATTGAGTCGTTCGATAAAATATTATCGTGTTTTGAAAATGAATGAAAATTTGATACGCGTTGAAATTTAATTACAAAAAAGAAATTACACGTTTTAGGTTGATAAAATAGTTGGTAAAGTTTATTGACACCATGCAATATCGATACGCATGACACAAAGCTGGTTCAAGGGTTTTCAATCTGAAAATTTGAATGTCAAAGATGCGCCTTGCATTAGTCAAACAATCATCGAAATAATCAATGAAATCATAGATTAAAATTGAACAATATTTTATACATTAATAATCTTGACATTTGTAATAAACAAAAAATCATTTCATAAAAGAATTTAAAAAACTATTGGAAAAAAAAACTGAATAGAATATATTGAATAGAATAATAGAAAATAGTAAAAAAACTTATTTAAATTTATCATTGAAATACAAACGAAACGAAACGAAACGAAATGAAACGAAACTTTTGACTCGACCTGAATTAAACAAATGTAGATTTTTTATTATATTAAATTTAATTATTTAATATAAATCACATTTTTATTCTAAATATTTTCTCTATTTTATTAATAAATGCATTGAAATTGATTGTACATATTACATCCTATTGTACAGATACATTTTACGAATAAATATTTATATGTATAATGATTAATGATATAATATAATAAGACCATAAACGCATGGTGACCTCTCAGACACCGATCTCCATTTTAATGTACGCTCATAGAAATCTCCATTAACCGTAATAGTCAATCATTTTCCGAACCGATGTTCCGTACGAACGAATCTCATACGTATCCTATACCCGACGATACAATTTTACAGATAAAAAAACATTCAAAAAATATGTTCGTTTCTTTTGAAGGATCGTTCGACGTTTGAGAAATAAAAATCAAAAAAAAAAAAAAAAAGAAATTGATTAGAAAAAATTTTGTTTTAATTGGTAACGCAAGCGATATTTTGTTATACATGTAAATATGTGTATGCTTGTTCAATATGCATGCATGCATACATGTATATGTGTATTATACGTGTATGCTATTCGGTGGGCGTCAAAGGAAATATGCCGGATGACCTCGGGTAGCTTTGCTTGTATTTAGGACACCCGATAGATGATAGCTACGAGCTTCAGGATGCAAACTGATAGAAACTGGCGCGTGTGATTCAACTTCATTAAAAGATATACACACACATATATATATATATATATATTCTATATACATTGTGCATATGTTCATTCAGATTCAGATTCACCTCTGATAGGAAAATTTCTAATTTACGTTTCACTTATCTTTTATGAAATAATTATCGATATAAGGTTTTTTTTTTTTTCAATAGCTAGTATTTTTCAATAGGAGTGTACAAATTTGTTTGATTTAATTCTGTACACAATTTTTCTTTTTATTATTTTTATTTAATAATAATATTAATAAAGATTTATTTAGTTTATTAATACACAAAATATATTAAATGATACGAAGATCGCGAATGGAAGGGACAGGAACAATGGCGGGATTTGGTATTTGCGGCAATAAACTTTCGAGTTCCTAGTGCCAATTAATTAATAATAACAATATATTAAATATTATAATATTAATAAAATAAATAATATTATAATCAGTATATATTTAATATAAAAATTAACAATTAAATTTATCAAAAAATGTAGAAGAAAGTATTACAAGATAAAAGTATACTTTCATTAGAAGTATAAATAATTATCATTAAGTAACCCGTTGATATGAAAAATAGCGCAAATGGTATGACATTTATCATTGGTCCAGTTTTATCTGCTTTTACTTAGTCTTCTTATGTTAGTTAGATAAAACGAATTTGGCAGGAGACTCATTAAAATAATTAGGTCGTACAGATATATAAGTTATTTTTATACTTTGTATTTTTGTCTCTTCCGAGTTACGAACAAAACGATTAAGAATGAAGTCTTTTTTAATAAAAAAAAAAAAAAAAAAAAATGAGAGGCGGAGTCTCATGTTTTTTTCTAATCACTACAAACAAGTAAGTCTATGATACATACATACATACATAGACATGAGACATATGTGTTAATATGTGTGAGATGAATTCCGTTGAAAATAATAAAACAGACGAGAACTATGATTATATGGTTATGTTTCATTAACGATAACGATTTAATAAATAATTCATTTTCTAACTAAAATCATACAACAAATGGATTATTCATACAACATTGAAGAAATTCCAACGAATGATAAACCATGCATCGAACACGACATTCGTCGTGCCAAACAATTTTTACTCAAACACAGTCCTGAATCTGGTGATAATTTGTACGTAATTATTATTATTATTAGTATTATTATTATTTTTAAATAAATAATTAACATTGAAACAAACCATGAGATTTTAGATATGATCATTTATCGGAACTTCTTGCTAAGATATTATCGGAAAAACCAAAAAATGCTGTTGATTTGTTTGAAGTCTACAGCAGAAGATTAAAAGAAGAAAGATACAAAACTCAAACTGATCATTTGCGTGATGTTTACGTACCACCTGTACAATACGAAAATGCTAAAAAACTTATCGAATTGTTTCAAGTACTAAATATAATTTGTTATTCAAATATATTTCTCAAATCGTTTGATTTCATTCATCTTTTGAAGAAGGCGGAAGCAGAAACAAGAAACGAGGAAGATCAAATGGAAGAAGATGAAGAGATTGAAAAAAAGAATGGAATACCAAACACCATGGATTTATTATTTTATTTCGAACAAACCGGTGTTGGTTTGCCACGAGGCGAGATGATTTTATTAAATTTAGCGATAAGAAAACTCGCTAGTAAAGTTCCCATCAAAAATCTTAGGTAACAAATAGAAAATATTTTTTATTTTTTTTTTTTTTTTTAACAATCAACTGTAGAAACTTTCTTTTTTTATTTTATTTTATTATAAAAAATAAGCTAGTAGAAAATCGGATTTATGGTTAATATAGATTTTGGGGTAAGATTCTTGGTAATCCGAAGAATTATTATGTGGTGGAAGCGGAATTTGTGGAGGACGAATTACAAAGAAGATTAGAGGTTATGTTCCTATATCATTTTAAACTCTGATTTGTTTCATTCTTTTCTTTTATATAAATGCATATTAAAATAAAAAAAATGATTTTGAAGTAGCAAACGACATCAGTGAACGAGATTAGACAAAATTCTGATTTGTTTCTTTCTTTTCTTTTATATAAATGCATATTAAAATAATAAAAAAAAAAAAATGAATTTTGAAGTAGCAAACGACACCAGTGAACGAGATTAAAGAAGAAGAAAAAATTGAGGAAGTTAAAGATGAACGAGATATGGAAATGAATAAAGAAATTTCCGATGAAACTGAAGAGGAAACAAAATTACATTTGGTATTTCCACCATTACCAGTTAATACGTGGAAAATGCCGACGGAAGTGCCACCGGAACAAATTGGAACTGGAGTAAACACCAAGGTGATAAGATTTATCTTAAAAAAAAAAAAAAACCCTGGGTTTTATTATACACAATTTTATATTTGCAATATTATAAATAATTGTGAATATATTTTAAGGTATATTTCGTATGCAATAATCCGGGAATTGATGATTGGTACGAACTACCACCTGTGACACCACAACAAATAATAATATCACGTCAAATTGTTCGTTATTTTACTGGCCATTTAAAAACAAAGGTATATTGTTTATATTTCATTCGATAATAATTTATTTCATTCTTATGGGTTGTTAGATTTTTACTATCGATGATTTTTACTAACCTGAGTTATATGTGGTTTTGATAAATTGTTCAACATTGTGCAACTAAAATGTTCAGTATTAAAAACAAAAACCGACTTCAAAAATAAGACTTACAATGGTTTTCTCATGGATGCCATTGTCAGAACTGGACCAAATTGAAATGGGACCACACGGGAAGCATCAGCTTTTAAATAAAAAAAAAAAAGAATCATCAAAATCGGTTAACCCAGTCGAATTGAGAGCCTCCTCCTTTTTTGAAGTCGGTTAATAATAAAAATAATTTTTTTAAAAGAGTGCTACCAAATATATGAAATTATTGAATAATTTAATTATTAATAATATTATTTTACTTGGAAGCTACTTTCCCCACGTGACTTACTACCAATAAGAATTAAAACAAGTACTACGAATATCGTTGAACATTTATACATTTATATAATTTAATTATTAGATGGAATAATTTATTATGTAATAGAAATGATGAAATGATGTAATCATTAATAACATACTTTCATTTTGTAAGTAACTTGCCACGTGACTTACGACCAATAAGAATGAAATAAGTACTGGGAATATCATTGAATATATTTGTTAATTATTAGATGCATACATTTCCGCCATTTCCCGGTACAGAAGAAAATTATCTTCGTGCAGAAATCGCTAGAATTAGTGCTGCGACCGATATTTCACCGATCGGTTATTATACCTTCACCGGATTGGACGAGGAAGAGGAAATTGATGAAGAAATGGAAGAAGGTAATGATCGATATATAGTACATATAGATCGATGTGTGTATTTCATGATCTGTAATCACTGTTAAACGGTATAAAACGTTAGGATTTCGATTTGATTAATTATCAACGAGGTTATTCTACATTCAGGAGGGACCTTGACGGAGAACGTACATTACGATCCATTGCCGGTCAAGGATCTAGTGGATCCATCAATGTCGAATTGGTGTCATCATACTCCATACATTCTGAAGCAGGGACGTACAGTTTGGTGGGATCCTCGAGAAAAAGAGGTTCACTATTATATAATAATGAAATAATTCAATGATTCATTTATTAACGAGATAAATAATGAAATAATTCAATTAAATGTTTGTCATTAACCTTAAAACGTTCATTGCAATAATTAATGTTTTATTAACACCGATGATGCTACAGAAATGATTGGACTTTTATTAGGAAGAAGTTGAAGTTGAAGAGGAGGAGGAGGAGGAGGAGGAGGAGGAAGAAGAAAAAGATGAGGAAAAAGATGAAGAAACTAAAAGGGGAGATGCTATTAAAGAAACTGGACCACCTTTATTGTCACCATTATCAGAGGATGCGATTTTAGAATCAGTATTTCCATGGACAACGAGACAATCTTCGTTCGTTCAACTGGACACCGCAGTTGCTTTAGTGAGGTCAAATATTTGGCCTGGTGCATATGCATTCGCCGTTGACAGGTTTTTGCATATATATATACATTGAATATTTCTACGAAGATGTATCTTATTTCGTATTTTAATGAACATAATAGTAAAAGACAAGTTTTCTTTTTTTTTTTTTTCAAAGTAAGAATAACTGAGAATAATTTGTCCAAGTGTGTATGTAATAAGAATATAGGCACGTACCTATTTCACGGTTGTAAAATAAATTCTCGCTTGTACCAACGATCGTTCGAGATCCGCGATATGAGTTTTAACGGAGCCGGAGGAAATTATGCTGATCTGCAGTCACGTTACCAGAAAATTAATGCGCGCGAAATTACGCTAATGCAATTTTAATGGTGTCATTTTCGCAGACGTTTCGCCAACGTGTACATCGGTTGGGGTCACAAGTACAACGCTTACAATTACAATCCACCATCTATGCCTCCCGTACAGGATCAGTATAAAATTGGTCCGGAAATCATGGAGATTCGGGATCCGACTTTTGAGGAAGAAGAAGCTTATCGTATAGCACATTTACCACCACCACCATTATTCATTGGTAAATCATAATAATTAATAATATGATCGATCATTTCTTTTAATTTCATTCGATTCGATCTTTTGTAAAGGAGAAGGTGAAGAGGAATTCGTTGAGGAAGAGGAAGAGGAAGAGGATGACGAAGAGGATGAATAAATTAGACAAATTAACTTTATGAATTATTCAACTCAACGTTAATACAATTAAAAGCAATAAGATATGAAAAATAATCAACCTTAATTATGGTATTTAAATATCTTTCGCGTATATTTATCGATACTGCCAAAATTTCTCGTACCATTTGTTGGAAAGTAGATCTCTACTATATCCGTCAAGAAAAAGGGTTTAGAAACCCTGGCACAACCTTGTCGCAACCCTGCTGATAATATACCGACTAAGTAAAATTTCCTTTTACAAGTTATACAGTAATCTAACTTGTGTTGACTTACGTAGTAAGCTTTTAAACATAATACTATGCAACGCTAGATGTCGTCAGAAAAAAACTATATATTTTGCTTATTATTTTTGATGCTACTTTAACCTCACGTGTTGTACCAAACATAACCTATAAGACTTACTCTAAAACGTTTTATATTAAAAACATATATTATATCATAAAATAATTATAATTATGGATGAAACTGATACACAAATTGAATGTGCACTCCGTCCAATGATATGTGAACTGAATAAACTTTCGATGCCTGATGGATCAGCAATGTTAATGCAAGGTAAACATCTCATATTTATAAATTTACTGTATAACTATTACTGTATAACTATAGTTGATTATATGTATTGTTTTTTTAGGTGATACAGCTGTTATTGCAGGTGTTTATGGACCCATAGAAGCAAAAGCACAGAAAATGATTTATGACAAAGCTTCCGTTGAAGTTGTTTATAGTCCTTTAAAAGGACCTCAAAGTAAACATATTAAATTTATTAATTGTTAAATTTATCTTTACAAACACACATAAATATAATTAATAGGAAATATTTGTTGTTAATATTTTAAGAGATAAACGACAGGGTGGTTGAATTATATTTAAAAGAATCGTGTGAGGCTGCCATTATTGTTAATCTTCATCCGGCTTCCGCTATCAGCATAAATGTACAAGAAATTGTGGATAATGGCGGGGTAAGTTGATACTTGACAATATAATTGACAATATAATTTTAATGACATGTTCTCATTAAAATGGTTATTATTTTTTTAGTTATTAGCTTGTAGTATTAATGCTGCATGCTTGGCTTTAATTAATTCAGGAATTTCTTTGAAATTTACCGTGGCTGCTGTTAATTGTATGATTGAAAAAGATACAGGAAATGTAATACTTGATCCAAACAGTGATCAATTGCAGGTAAGAAAATAAAATAAAAATGGTTATTATTATTTAATGAATCTTAGGTATTTACATTTATGTTTTATTTATTAGAAATCGAGAGCAGTTTTAACTTTTACGTATGACAGTATAAAAAGAAATTTTATCTCTTGTCAAACATCAGGACGTTTCACCGATAAGGAATTTGTGGAATGTTTGGACAAATGTGAACAAGCTAGTACACGGATCTTTGAATTTTATCGTGATGTTGTTAAAAAATATGTAACGGCAATATAATTACAAAGAATTTGTTTATTTATATTTGTTAATAAAATAAATATGATAAAAATAATAAGTCACTAGATCATCCAAAAATTCAACCAATTGTAAAACTTTTCACTAGTTTCGATATCTAGTTTTATATTCATGGTGTATTTCAGTAACTCAATTCAAATTCCTTCATGAGAATCTACCTTATCGAGAAATGGTAAGTGTAGAATAGTTCAATTCTTTTACAGTGACAGATTTTATACCAACCGATGGTAATCAAAACTTGTAACGATACAAAGAATATAGAGAGGACGCTGAATGAACCCTTGATCGGTGGTTCCCCCAATGCCATGAAATAGAACTTGTAATTCAATCTGCTCTTCGGATAACACACCAGTTATTTCAAACAAATCAATCCAATTACTAATATTATAGAATATTAAGAACTTGAGTCGTTAATAATTAATTTGATTAGTTTTAAAGGAAATTTAACTTTGACTTTAACAGGATTGTCCAATTTCAAAAAAATCAAACAATTAATTTACATAATTAAAATAAAAATCAAAAAAATGGAATTGAAAGTTTGAAAATTAGTTAATATCACAAAGAACGAACGTAACTTGAATCCTTTTGATAAAATCGATGTGAAAAGGAAAAAAGGAATAAAAAATAACTGAAATAAGTATAAAGAAGGGAAAAAAAGGAAATAAAGGGGGAAAAAAAGAGTGTAGAAAAGGGGGGAATCCCCTGAATCGTCGTATTCAGGTTTGAAAGAGAGAAGAGAGCCACGCCCGGTCGCCAATCATAGCCAGGAGAGTAAAAGTATCCTCCACCTTCGACGTGTGCACCCTTTTGTGTCCACGGGTGCTGTGGGACTCTCCTCATTCTTTCGTTTCTTCTTTATTTCTTGCTCGAAGAATACGAACGGGGTAGAGAGAACTTACAGCGACTCGGTGGCCATTTCTGGGCGTCCATTAAATACAGAAATGAGCCTCGCGAGAGACCCACGAACTCCGGACCAGATCCTCTTGAACGGGGCCCTAACAGAGAAAGAAAAAGCAACACACACACATATATATACACAGAGAATAAGAAGAGAGTCGGGTCAGACCGGGCCACGTTTAGCTGAGGTCGCCCCAGGCCCCCAGACCATTAACAAGGAGCGGAGCAATTTATGGACCGGCTCGCTCATTTCCACTTTATTATTATTTTCTCATCTCATAGATGGTCTTTCGCGTCGTTTTGTCTCGCCCTTCCTTTTCTACCTTTTTTATTTTTATTATTATTTCTTTCTTTCTCTTTCTCTCTCTCTCTCTCTCTTACTCTTTTTCTTCTCTTAGCTGTTAGTTGCATCCTCTTTCATTTCATTTCCTTTTTCCTTTTCATTTTCTTTCTTATTTGCGTTGAAATTAATGCTCAAGAAGTTGAATCGAGAGAAGCCAAGCAAGCAAGCCAACTGCGAGATATTATCGGTGTGTGTACCACCTTTAACCATCCTACGAGGTCCCAGGTGCCTTTAAATCTAGGAATATGTGATAAGGATGCTTGGGGCCTACTCGAATGGCCCACGATACATGAGTACCTGAATACAAAGCTTTCATATGCTATGTATTCTCTCTCCCTCCCTCCCTCTCTCTCTCTCTCTCTCTCTCCTTCCGAATGGCTACTCCTCGATCGAAACTCTGCTGTACATTATCCTTCCTGTTAATGGATATCTCGACGGGATAGTAGTAGTCTTCGGTAGGAATATATACAATAATATATATATACCTTCTGTACACTTCAATTTGATTTAAACGAATTTGATAGCTTCGTGATTATGCTTATACAATTAGGAGAGATACAACTATGCTTGATTTAAATGAGAATATCTTGTTCTCTGGTTCGATTTCAATACGAGAGAGAGAGAGGGAGAGAGAGAGAGAGAGAGCCATATTATTTATCTTGAGATTTTTTCATAATAAAATAAAAGATACATTTTTTGTAACGTCAAATATATTCCTATCTTTATTATTAAGCTTCCAGTGATAATAATAATAATAATACCAAGTTATATATTTTTAATTATTCCGAAATCTCCACAAAGAAATCACCATATTATAAAACATATATTAATATATTAAATTATATTTCATTTAATTTACCATAAATTAAAATTAAATAAGTAAACTCGAAAAACCCTTTTATTATTTTACAAAAATACAACAAAAGAAACATTGACCCTTTTTTAAAAAGCGAATAGAAATTTGTTCTCTTAAAATAAAAAAAAAAAAATAAAAAAGAAACAAACAGATGAAATGGCAAAAACAATTAGGAAGATATCGAATGAAGAATTTAAGGAAGGAATTCATTGAGACATCGCTAAAGTTAATTAGCGTCTTTACCTGGGTTATCATTTTTTTTTCTTCATGGTGTTCTATGAGAGAATGTGCAATAAATACGAAAGATCGTAAATCGTGGCGAACCAATGGGACGTGGCGAAGACGTCCTAGTGGATCCACCATAGGATCGTTTGCCGTTCGACGAGAACCATACGAACCATACAACCATCAGGGTCAGACTCCACTCTCTTTCGTCCAATCCCTTCTTTCGTCCCTTCGAACGATTATACTTTCGTTCTACCATCGGCCGCCGTTCATGCTAATCTTCCTAACAACTGCCCTCGCGCCAATAGAGAAGCAGCTTTCGTTCTTCTCAAACGAAAATGAACAGAGACCACCGCCGTTTACGAATAGAAAGGTAAACGAGAAACTTACAAAAATGGACGACCAGGTAAAACCTTAAGAAACAATGCAACTTCAATTAAAAAGGCTAATGTAAACAACAAATTTTATTCCCTTTTTTTTTTTTTTTTATTTAACACATTCGTCACCGCTGACGTGAATTCACGTCTTTCAACTTCTATTCCTGGTTACTGCTGACCCTAAGAAACAATGCAACTTCAATTTAAAAGGCTAATGTAAACAACAAATTTTATTCCTTTTTTTTTTTTTTAAATTTAACACACTCGTCACCGCTGACGTGAATTCACGTCTTTTCAACTTTTATTCTTGGTTGCTGCTGACGTAATTCACGTCATTTTCAATTTTACAAATTTAATACAAATAATATATTTATATTGAAAAATATAATTACATATCAAATGAATTCAATGTAAAAATGTATTCTACATTATTTGTAAATAAAATTAGTTGAATAGATTGAGTCGTCTGATACTTTGGCGTATATTTGTCCGCCCTTTTGATTCGTTTCAGTGGTCGACAGTTGGCCTTGGTACCGATCATTAGAATCGTCTCGTCATTTTTTTGCGAGTTGGAACGCCCAGTGAGATTCGTTGCGCTGTTAAAACTCGAATTCAAGCTCCTGAATCTGAGTAACACAAAGTTTGTTTCCCGCATGACGATTCACCGATGGTGGGTAGTGTTAAAAGAGAGAAACAAAAGACAAAAGAATAGAAGGAGAATGAGAATGAGAAGAAGAAGAAGAAGAAGAAGAAGAAGAAGGGAAGACGAAAGTCGTTTGACGTCTGACACGACTCGAAGTGACAGCCGGCTTGTGTACGACAGGAATCGTACGTTTGTTTGTCGGGACTCGAAAAGACTGACGTTTAGGGACCGAAGTCTTCTTCCTTCATTCATTCCCTCCCACCATCCATTGGGAAACGGGTCCAAAACAACATTTCGAGCCTACCCCTTGCCGAGGATGATGGATTCTTGTCACGTAATCTACTTTAAACAGTGATCCTTTCGATCTTTTCGTTAACATCCTAACAAACGTTGCATCAACTTACTTATTTTAAGATCTATGCAAATATAAGACCATTTCAACAAATTTTTAACACTACATTTTTTAATATATAATAATTATATAATATTTAATTAGGTACTTACGTATTAGCGTACAATCTACACCTTAGATTGTTGTGACAAATCATAGAATAAAAAACTTTATTTAAAATCGAAACACTTTCAAAATTCAAAACATTTTAATTATAAAAAGTAGTCAATCGGATTTCGGTGGAAAATGTGCCGATATAGAATTTAACATAGATTCAAAACAGCCTCTATTTTCTTTCACCTAATGCTGTCGCCATAACCCTGACAAAACCCTGACAGTTTGAAGCATTAGCGGAATTTTTGCTGCGCTGGCGTTAATACGTAAGTACCTTTAATTATTTTAATAATGTAATTATTAATTATTATATATTTATATAATCATTATTATAAAATTTAGTAATTAAGTGACTTGTGGAATCAAACATAAAAATATTTTTAAATCAATGTGTGTATCACAACTTGAATAAAACAAAGTGAAACAACCCTTATTGTTTGCTACAAATTTGGAAATAAAAATTTGAACTACATCACCAATACTGTAAAAAAAATTTCAGATGATTCAGAACTAACCTAGGTGTTTGATTCTTTTGACAAAATTCAATTGTATTCGCACGAACTAAGATTTCAGTAACAAATGTAAAGATATTTATACAAGATGATCTGTCTTTTATCTCATTCTCTTTGTTTCTTTTTTTTTTTTTTTTTGATACGTTTGAAGAAGAAGATGAAGAAGAAGAAGAAGGTCAAGAGAATCCCGCAGTGCCGCATAATCCGATCGGATCGCCGCTTAAGATTGATGGTTTCTTAATAACCGAGAAAAACCGGTAAAACGATCGGCTCGTTGATGCACCACAGGTGGCCCGACAGTAAGGATTACACCTGGACGACATAGTTTTTCTCACAATCGTTGGACACGATCGAGAGAAATCTTTTCTTTCTATACTCACTATTTAGTTATTTTCTTTAAGATTACAAACACATACAATTTTTATTCAGTATGACGATGAACAAAGTGACAAGTATTATGTTAGAATAACTAAAGACGTGTCACACACCAACACACACACACATAATTTTAACAATGTTAGAGAAAAATATTGAAACATTTTAGGTACACATTTATTTAGATAATTATTTTGGGATATTCTAATAATTTAAATTAATATTTTATGTAATATTATAAACATTACTTG